TTTATCAAGTATATTCTCCATCAGTATGTGATAAAAGTAGCTTTCCTATCACAAAGGAAGCTAAAGAAAATCTCTTCTATTTAGAAGTTGAAAAGTATGTAACTAAATAGTCATTAAGTTTAAGAGATAATCTTGAGGAAAGACAATGAAAGTACCACATATAAAATTTATGGGACAATAATGTTGTAAATTATGGAGATAAATCTGATGCAACTACAGGAAACTATTAAAAGCTGGTAAGTTTGATGGTAGGTATACAAGTATTTGCTAAATTATTCTCCATATTTTTTGTATTTTTAAAATATTTAATCATTGAAAACTTAATAGACACACATATTGGACATAGCTAAAGTATTAGTCAGAAAAAATTTAGAGCTTTGCCTGCATTTATCAGGAAATTAAAACGAGAAGAAAAGAAAACAAACAAGTGCTTAATGAAGCTACTACAAAGATAATAAATTCAGAAAATGAGAAAAAAAGAAAATAAAAAGATTTAAAAAAAAATCAAGGTTCTAGGGAACAGATATCAACATCAAGATTCACAAAGCCAATGCTGGATCCTTGAAAAGATTAATGAAATAGAAAACTTCTGATAATACTCAACCAGATAAATTTGAAAAGAGGTAAATAAGTAAAACATAGAATGAAAAGGAGGTATGTTTACAGACAGAAGGAATTTTGAAAATAAATTATGAACAGACATGATACAACATTCATGAGAAAAGGGATTGATTCCTACAAAAGATATAACATGCTGAGTTAGAAATGTTGAGAAATGGAAAAAGTGAGTGGAGGATAAACATTAAAGATGAGGTAGTGATAAAATGCCTTCACAGAGTGGGTGGGGTGGAGACACACATCTGACATTGTGTCAACCTATACCTCTTAAGTCATGCACAGTGCTGTAAACCAGTGTTACCTGGGTAAAAGAAAAATAACACATAGATAACTAATAACAAAAAATAGAAATGTCTTCTTCAACAAAAGTCTTAGGAAAAAGAATGGGGAACTCAAGAAAGGAATAAACAGATAATAAACATGAAAACATAAGTACAGAAAAGAATCTGAGTGACTTTGAAGTGATCCTAGTGTAGAATCACAGATCAAATAAAAAGCCACTTTGCGCTTCTTGGATTAGATACTATTAGGAAACTGGAAATTAGTGCCCACCATAGCTAGCACTGTTGTTTCCCATGTGTGCTGGACACCACTCCCACTCTGCCTGGTATTGTCAGGTTTTTAAATTTTAGCTGTCTTGATGATGTGTAATAGTACATCATGCTGTGGTTTAATAAGTATTTTCCTGATGATTAATGGTGTTGCGTATTAGTTACACACTGACCATTTAGATGCCCTCTTTTGTGAAGTGTCCATTCAAGTATTTGCCCTCTTTAAAAATTGGGCTGTCTGTCTCTTTGTTATTTACTTGCAGGCATCTTTGCATTCTGTAATGGGTCCTTTGTTGATTATGCATATTATAAATATCTCCCACTCTGTGTCTTACCATTTCATTCTCTGAATGGTGGTTTTTAATGACTATAAGTTCTTAAAATAATGAAGTCAAATTTATCATTTGTTTTCTTTATGGTTACCACTTTATGCTATTTGAAATCTATGCTTACTACAAAGTCATAAAAATATTCTTTATTATCTTCACAGGCTTTATCATTTTACTGCATTACATTCTGATCTACATTCCACTTGAAATTGATGTTTATGTGGTATGATCCAGTAATCATGATTGATTGTTTTTCTGCAGTGATATCCATGTGGCATAGTACACTATTTTGAAAAGACTTTTTTCCTCACTACATTTTTTTTTTAATTTCTAATAATGCTTTCATGATTGTAGTGGCAGGATGGGCCACTGAGCAGGTTTTCTAGGATCTGAGCAGACAGGGTAAAGGAGAGTCCTGGAGCCCTCGGTGGCTTTCTCAGGCTTTTATTGAGCTCTCACATGTAGTGCAGCAGCCAGGGGTGCTAGGGAACCAGGAGGCCATAAGGCCTCCAAGCCCCCAGCAAGTGTTCACTCCCGGCTTCTTTCTCGCCTTCTTTCTCCTGCCTTTTCTCCTACTTTTCTCCTGCTTCTCTTGGTGACTATCTCAATACTCCTCCCATGGCCAGCAGAAGTAAACAAGACAGCTTACAACAATGGAACAACTGCAGGTGCCCCAACAGGCAGGGCGATCCTAATGGTGGGAGGGCAGACAAAGTCTGAAAACCATTTACCCTACAATGATAGTCTTCATTATTCAGATCACCAAATTCCAATGTGGTAGGGGAGGTTCCCCATAGCAACAAACGATTTTTAAGGACTCAGTCCTACAAGACTGCCTCCCCCTCCAACTTTGGATGCAGTCACATGCCCAGGCTGTTACCTGTGTTTCCTTTTGATCAGCTATGGACCTGTGGTTCCAATGACATCCTTCTTAGACTTCAGATGCCAGCCACAGGTCCAGGCTGTCACCTGCACTTCTGACTGACTAATTACAAAGCAGAGATTCCTACAACCTCCTCTGTGGGTTAATTTGCTAGAGCATCTTACAAGACTCAGGGAAACATTTTACTTCTTAGAGCTCCTATTTATTGTAAAATAGTCAGATGGCTAGGCAAGAGCAAGTTATGCAGGAAGGGGCACTGAACTTTCATGCATGGTCTCGGCGTGTGAGCTACTCTTTCCAGATCTCCATGCCTTCACTGACTGGCAGCTCTCCAAACCCTCCCTCTTGGGTTTTTATGGACTCTTCATTACTTAGGCATGACTGACTAAATCACGGGCCACTGACAATTAAATTCAGTCTCTACTCCATTTCTGCTCTCTAGAGGGCTAGAGCTGGGACTGGAAATTCCAATCCTCTAATCTTGTGGTTGGCTCCCCTGGAAACCAGCCCCTATCCTTACAGACTTTCCAATGGTCACCTCATTAACATAATAAGAGACATCTTTGTTGCATTCATCACTTGGGAGATTCCAGGAGTTTTAGGATCTGTGTCAGAAAAGAGGTTGAAGACCAAATGTATGTTTCTTATTATAAATTACAATAGCATATTATTCCCATCCTTTATTTGCAACCTGTTTGTATTCTCATATTTAACATGTCTCTAGTAAGCAGCATATAATTGGATTTCCATTTTTCTACTCTAGTCTAACATCTTTGCGTTTTAAATACAATATTTTTTGATTCATATTTAATGTAATTCCTAATAAGTTTTGCTAAAAATATTTCTGTTACCATTTTCCCATCTGTATTATGTCTATTCTTGACTCTTCTACTGCTTTCCCAAAGCAACACTTAAGCAATACTTAATACTTATATTTAATATCTATTAATTTTTAAAGTTTTTAATGTGTTTTATAATCACCATAAAGGGGTCAGTATGAATCCTTGACTTTTTAGAGATTAATATAACGAATATTTCTACAACTTTCTGGATCACACAAGAACTGAGACTATTTTAATTTTTGTCCCTCCTTCCCTTAGTGCTGGATGTCATGTATTTAAATTTTACATATATTTTAGACTGAAAAGAAAATTAATATTGCTGTTTTTTGCATCGAAAGTCACCTACTTATTCTGGTTACTTACTCTCCCCATTGTGGTTTTTGTTTAGTTTTTTTTTATTTTCTTGTGGATGCCCTTGCTTCCATCTGGGATCCTTTTATTATGGCTATGCTGCCAAGGAATACTTTCAGTTTATATTTATCTGAAAATATCTTTATTTTATTTTTATTTCTGAAAGAAATTGGAAATGATTTATAATCTAGATTGGCAGTTATTTTCTCTCAGCGTTTTCAATATGTTTTATTTTCTCCTGGCTTCCACTTTTCTGTAATCCACATTATTGTCCTTTGAAGTGAATGTCTTTTTTTTTTTTTTTTCTGGTTGCTTTTAAGTATTTTGGTCTGCCTCTGGTGTTCACTATGATAACTCCATTACTAAGCAGTTTTATTTGGCATTTTTCTTCCCCTCCCCCTTCTGCTTTGAGATGGTAGTGCTTCTTGAGTCTGTAGTTTGATGTCCTTTGTCAATGTTTGAAAATTCCTAGCTAATATCTCTTCTCAGATTGCTTCTGCCTCATTTTCCTCTGGATGCATCACTGAGAGACATGGGCTTTAAACTAATGATGATTAATATGTTCAGAAAATAAAGGACATGATGGATAATATCAGTAACAAACTGAAATATATGAAAGAGAAGAAAAAATCTTAAAAATGAAAAATAAAGTAACTAAAATTCAAATGTATTATTAAACCAAATTGTAGATTAGATGGAGTAGAAAGAAGGATTACTAAATGGAAGTCATTGTATAGAAAATGTCTATCTTGAAGCTAAATGGGGGGTGAAAAGTACACATTTTTATTAAAAATCCCTGATTTTGGACTTTCCATGAAAAATCAAACTAGTTGTTAACATTGACTCTGCATTCCTTATAGCTGATGAAAGACCTTCTGAAAAGGATATGTTTTCCTACTAGTCAATGTCCATAACTCTCTTACTTTCTGCCACTGAGGCTGATTATCACTTGTCATGGTTCCTTTCATTCCTATACTACTTCACTTATTTAATTGCCTGGATGAGAATGCATTGGTAGGATATGGCAGAGGAGGGATATTGTAGACAGATGGAACAGCACATGGAAGCTACAGGAAGACTTGGGTAGGTGTGGGAACTCAAAGTCTGCAGGCCGAGAGCACAGACACGAGCGGGGACTGTGTTGTATTGGGTCACTGAGTCTAGTAAAACACACAGGCTCCTAAGTATCCTTGCAGACCAAACAGCAAAAAAAGAACCTATAATTATCTCACTGTTACTTGAAAGTATGCAAATTTTGCCCCTCTAAATCTTCTGGTTGAAACACTTCATCACCATGTAAACTTAAGATGTTAACTGTATGGTAATTTGCTAACTTTTAGCCCGGTAGACAAGCTATTGACTGGGTATGATGAAACATCACTGAATTAATTTTTATTAATCATTATTTGTTTCTCCTTTGCTTTAGCTGCAAGTGTCCACTGCTTGGAAAAGTATGGGAAGCTGACTTGGAAGCTTGCCAGTTGTTTATCCAGAGCCTGCAGCTCCAGGAGGGCAGGGATAACCAGTCTGCAGATGATGAGAAGCAGGTGGATGACTTAGGGGGAGCCATCCCCCCTAGGCTGCACTGTGAACATGAGAGGAAGACCCCTTTGGAGGCCCTCGAAGAGTGGAAGGCTCACCTGACCACCTCGCCTCACTGTGCCATCACTGAACAGAAAGAGGTCTGTCTGTCCCCCCAGTCACAGCAGGGGCCCTACTCTGAGAGGTGCTTTGGTACCACTTTCCAAATGGGAGCAACAGGAGTGGGAGGGCTTCCCATTGAAATGTACAGACTTTAAAGTTTTTAATAACTCTAGACATGATTATGAAATAATGTGGCTTTTTTTTTTCTAAGAATTTTTTTTTTTAAGATTTATTTATTTATTTATTTATACAAGCACTGGGTACTGTCAGAAGCGCAGGAGGGTGAGAGAATTCACCAGAGCCAGAGCGGGGAGCAGAGCAGGCAGAAGGACCGAAGTACACTGCTGAGGGGAGCAGCGGGCGGCAGGAGAGGTCTGTGCACCATGTGGGACCCTCGCCTGGTGGCCGGGGATTGAACCAGCACTGCAGAGGCTGCAGGCAGCTTCGCAACCCAGTGCTCAACCACTGCGCCACCGGGGAGGCCCTAATGTGGCATTTTTGCAGAAATTTAAAAAGAGCTAAATTTAATGGCTACAGTTGGAATATATAGTCTAATAACTACCATATAGAACATATACATGTCATATAGAGCAGAGTTATAATATGCATGTGATATATCATATATTTAAAATCTATATCATATCATTTTCTGTTAGAATCAAACATTCAAAGACATGTGTATAACCCATTCATTGTTTTTGCCAAACCTAAATCATCATGAATGCTTGTACTCTACTCATTTCATTTAAAAAAAAAAAAAAAACCCTAATACTTGGCCTATGATATGTGTGTTACAAATTATTATTTTTATTTTTAACTAATTAATTAATTAATTAATTAATACAAGCACTGGGTATAGTCAGAAGCGTGGGAGGGTGAGAGAATTCACCAGAGCCAGAGCAGGGAACAGAACAGACAGACTGACGAAATACACTGCTGAGGGGAGCAGCGGGTGCGGCAGGAGAGGTCTGTGTGCCATGTGGGACCCTTGCTGGTGGCCAGGGATCGCACCGGCGCTGCAGAGGCTGTGGGCAGCTTCTCAGCCCAGCGCTCAACCGCTGCATCACCAGGGAGACCCTGTGTGTTACAAATTAAAATGAGGGTTCATTTAGCACTTTACCATAAGGTTGACCAGAGTGACAAAGATGATCTCCTCTTTCTGCCCAGCCTCCCTCTCTGTCTTCCCTGCCCTTCCCTTTCACTCACTTTCCCCTCCAATAATATTCTCTTTAACGAAAGGACTTGAGAATTGTTTTTTTTCCAATTTCAGCTCCATGACAGGAGCCCTTGGAGCTTTTTCTAACCAGGCTTCCAGGTTCTGACTATTGAGAGGAAATAAAAGCATGGTGAGGTTGGAGGGATGTGTCACTTCCTATTCATGCCTCACCTTTGGTGCTAGACTCTCCCTAGGTCTTGGTCATGACACCCCCACCTAAGTACACCCACCCCTGTGCTGACTGAGGGACATTGGTTTTACAGGGCAGACGCTTGCTGACAACATGTACTTATAGTCACTGCTTTTTGCACAGCTTGGAAAATTCATCCTTGAATTCAATATTTGAATTGAATAACAAATATTCACTTTGCTACTCCAAAGCAGGCTGTTGCCACTCTATAGAGTCCTGTTGACCTCATAAAATTCGGCTCTAAATTAAAGTATAGATGATCTCACCTTCTTTGTGAGTTAGCAGAAGTGCAGTAGGTAGAATTCTCCCCCTAAATCTAGCTGCTGCAGGTCTTGGTAGAGTTGTCGAAACCTTGCCACCTGTGGCAGTTGGATGACTTGAATATTCTGGTATGAATGGAGGTGTCCTGGGCCAAGGCTTTGAAGATTGAACTGGCTCTTCAAAGTGTGCTCCCAAGAGCTCCCTCCCCTCCTTTCACCTCCGTCCCTCCCTTCTGCACTGTGTCCATGCGTCCCTCCAGGCTCTCTGGGGGATGACTTTCCCAGATATAGAAGTGTTATTCTTCCTGTATAAGGTTAGAACCACTTGCCATTTGGCTATAGGGAAATAGAGCTATGTTTGCCTAAAAGGAAGGACTTCAGAGTGAAGGACTTTATTTGAGATGACCATCAAGGGATCAGCAGGATAGGCACCCCAAAACTGGCTCCCTAGTGGTGGGAGTGCTGGGATTATATAAGGGGTGATGGAATATGAGCAGGGTGCAGGTCTTTACATTTTGGTCCAAGGAAGTGCTGGGCAGTCTAGGTGACCCAGGAGTCAAGGTGTGTGACTTTCCCAGCAGGGTGTTTTCTCAGCAATCAGCAGATGTTTGTTCCTGATGCCACTATTAACTCAGGGGGACACAGAGAATTTTGTTAGGGATGTAACACAATCAGTTTTCCAAGTTGTTAGTAATGCAGGTGGAGCCAGTTAAATGTTAAGGAGGGAATAGGGGGTGCAATTCAGTGAGTTAACAGTTAATCCTAAAACGCGAATATGATTTAATGATTTAACAGCCCTGAAGAGGAAATGCAAGAGTGGTTAGAGTTTAATTCTACTTATTCCTAATTTTTAGTCTACAGATATTTTCTATTGCAAGGTGGAGGGGATCTGGCTACAGAAGTACTATAGTGACTGCTTCTCTGAGCTCCATGACCTTCCAGAAGCCCTCCCTCCCCCACCCTCAGCACCTCTCCAGTAACTGAAATGCTGGATGTAGGGTAAGGAAAAATGTCAGGCTTTTCTGCCCTTCCGCCATCAGGATAGATCATGGATCCCTTGTGGTCCTGAATGCATGCCTGATGGTGGACACCTGGAGTAGGGTGTGGGCATAGGTAGATGGGATTCACCTGGGCTGAGACTGGGCTTTTGAGGGCAGCGTCACAGGGACGCCAGCAGAAGCCGAGAGAGAAGCAGAGCCATGAGAAGAGCAGAGAGAATGTGAGAGAAGGCCGGAGAGCCCAGATAGAGTGAAGCCTTGTTAGGGGTTGGGAGGCCTGCCAGCCTCCCGGCCCCCCGGCACCCCTGCCTGCTGTGTACCGGGTAAATCCCAGTAAAAACCTGCAGAAAACCACTGAGGACTCTGACTCCTCCTTTACCTGGTCTGCTGGATCCTAGAAAACCTGCTCAGTGGTCCTTCCTGACCATACACTGGATATATACTATAATAGTTTTTGTTGCCTTCTTGGGGGTGTGGGAGAGCAGGGGGACCTAAAAGCTCTTGCTAATTTTCGGGGCCTTCTGCCGGTCCCTGCCCTGCTGTAGGGAACATGGGGGTACTCAGGATCTTTTTCACCTTCCGGCACCAGCCTCTACTATCATCACCTGCGGCTTTGCGTGCCTCTCATGTTGCATTACCCACACATGATAATGTGTTATGGCAAAAAGCACTTGGGAGCGCCAACACAGGGTGCCTCCACCTAGGAACACAGACACTTGGACCAAGAAGCCAGAGAGCACAGGGCTCATGTATATGTAACTACAGACACCTGGGTGAGAGGAATAAAGAAGAGACTCCAGGGCCTTCCCTGCTGGCGCAGTGGTTGAACGCTAGGCTGCGAGGCTGCCTGCAGCCTCTGCAGCACCGGTTCGTTCCCTGGCCACCGGCGAGGGTCCCACCAAAAAAAAAAAAAAGAGAGATTCCAGGGGCCTAGGGCTCAGTTGCTGCCTGCCTGTCTCCCTGCCTGCTGGTCTGCTTATGTTTCCAGTTCCCTGATCCAGCATTAAAGGCAGGTTAGAAATCCCAAAGGCTTCAAAATTCTCTTTCTATTTGCCAGAATCAACCTGAGCCCAGTCTGGGATGGCTGCACATCACCTGCCCGTCCCATGTGCAGCACCTACTTTGCTTTTTTGGGTTTACATTTCTGGGCCAGGTATCCTTCAAAGTCATGCCAGGAATGTTAAGATGATAGATGTTTGTGGAAAGAGCAAAATTTTGGGAACAGAAAGCAGAGATGTTATTGCCAGGAACTGGAGAATGGGGTTGATCCCAAAGAGTCACATGAAGGAATCTGGGAGTGGGGAGAGACGGGTAGGACTGTTCTGTATCTTGATTGTGTTGTTGGTAGTTGCATGACATTTAGATCTAAAATAAACATCTAGATATGTTCTTGTCTATAACTTGATACCCCAGAAAGGTGAATGAACATTTACAGAAGTTTTAAAAACAACATCTACCTATTTAAAACACAATTTTGGGACCATCAGAAGACAGCACAGTTTGGTAATCCTACCTAGGCCATTCATAGGCTGCATTTCCTCACCTGTTAAGACAAAAACAACAAAACACCCCCCACCTAAGAAAATGAAAACTCTGGCCTGTGAAGATATAAATAAAATAGATGTGTTTAAAATGGTGTGATGCAGGGCCTCCCCGGTGGCGCAGCGGTTGAGCACTGGGTTGCGAAGCTGCCCGCGGCCTCTGCGGCGCCGGTTCGATCCCCGGCTGCTCCCCGGCCGCCGGAGGAGGGTCTCACATGGCGTGCAGACCTCTCCTGCCACCCGCTGCTCCCCTCAGCAGTGTACTTCGGTCCTTCTGCCTGCTCTGCTCCCCGCTCTGGCTCTGGTGAATTCTCTCACCCTCCCGCGCTTCTGACTGTACCCAGTGCATGTATAAACAAAACAAACAAACCAGCAAACAAATAAATAAAGCATGCCTCTATATAAAAAAAATAATAATAAAATAAAATGGTGTGATGCATACACAGCAGAGGTTTAAATTGTGTGTGGTGTTTTATCTCTCCTTTTGGAATCACAAGTATGTCCAAGACTTTTGAAAACAATATACCTGTCTTCCTTTATCAAGAAGCAGAAGTGAGCAATGAATTAGTGGCAGATATCCAAGAGAAGAAAGGTTGAAAAAAGGAAAAATCATGTTTGTGTTTGGATGGAAGATGGTGAGTCTACTGAAGGCGCAGAGAAACAATAAGCAAGGGTCTCCTTAGGAAGGTGTTTTTGTTTTCCTGCTTCGATTTTCCAGGGAGTCACTGAAGCCTGGCTACTTGTGTTTTTATCCTGTGGCTAAAATGTCTATTTGCTCTGCAGTGCTGAGTTGGTTTTGCATTGGAACTCCCTGCTGTGTCTGGCCATCTCAC